GATGCACCTCTGGTATACTCAGAAGCTGCAGAAGCCTTCTTCACCAATCTACCAAAGAAAATCCAGCATGGTCTACAATCTGGAAGAGACTTGCAAACTTTAGCAGAGCGACTAGTGAAGTCATCAGTACATGCATTATCTAAGAAGTATGGGACAGATGACACTATAGGAGGCCAATCCCGAATTCCAAAAGCAAGTGATTCATGTGCCAAAAGTGCCCTTCCTGAACTTATGAAGTTTCTGCTAAGAAAGCCCAAAGAAATGAAAGAGAAGCTGAAACATGAGGATCCCTCCTCTGAAGTATCTGATTTCAGTTCAACCTCAGAAAGTATTGTTCGAGAGTATCCTTTCATTAGTTTCTTTCAGCACTAGTTTATGAATTATTACATCTTAAATTCAGCTTTATCAAGTAAAGGAATTAATATTGTACTATAGTGCATTTTCCTTAATGTGCATAAGATTTGAATTGCAGATATTGCTTCGGATGGAAATCCTTCGATCAACCTTTTCTGAGAGTATTAAGGAGTCGTCGAAGCGGAAGCTTGTTAAAGAGATCTGCTCCTTTTTAGAGATCATTCAATACCTTGTTGAAGGAGGTATTCATGGTCGTGTTAGTCTCTATGATTATGTTGAACGCAATATTAGGACGAGGTAAATATTTTGCTTTGAAATAAAGAGGTTGTTTTTCTCTATAGTTATGACGATCTGATTCATGTCTCACGGCAAGTTTCATTTCTGTATTCCCTTTTTGGTGTTTGTCCTGACTAGAATTCAGCATGAGAAGTAGGTCACCTTTTGTCCTCTCAATCCTCTTATTTCACCAACCCCAATCATTTTCCCCCGTGTTTCCTTGCTTTATCCTATCAAGGTAAGTTAACAATTCTCTAAGATTAAACCTACTATAGCTCTATAGACCATCAAAGTATTATTTTGATATCATCATCGTGCTGTAGCTGTTATTTGACTACATTAGCATTCTGTTTCATGAACTTTTCTCATTTTTAGAATCTTCATTCTTCTCAAGAAACTTCAATTAGTCTTCTACTTTGTAGCCCTACTTTACCTATTAGGGATTTTTCCTGTCTGGTTTTAAGCAAAACCATGTTAAGTGTAAACTACTACAACATGATCAGCTTTTCATTTACTATAAAACTAAAGTCTGTTACACTGAACTTCTCAGATAACTCCATTGCTTAACTTCAGTACCTAGTTCATGAATTACAGTGTACAAGTTTCATTGTCTGTGCCATCAGAGTTTAAACCACTCGCTCTGTTATTGTTAGAACTGGCTCTTGTTTGCTTTTCATAGATAAGAAACTCATGCAGCGCCCTGGTAGTACTGTTACCTGAAATATAACTTACCCACATGATTCAGGTACAAGGACATTCTCGAAGATGTTGTGAATAGAATCTACACACAAATGGATCTACTTCCATTTGGTGATGAAGATGAAAAACAGCCCCTTCTATTCAACAGTGAGGACAGTAATCAGTCTTGGAGGGATAAACAAGATAGGTATGAAACGGCTGAAGCCAACTACACGCGATCAGCAGAGGATGAGTCTTGCCAACCACCAGAAGACGTTGGTGAGAGCTCCCAAGGGATTAAAGTGGGGGATCATGCCCGCAAGTTAAGTGAAGCTCGTGATAGGAGAGAGAAGGCTCGACGATTTGGATCTTTCACAAGGATGCCAGATCTGCAAAGAGTTTGGGCCCCGAAGCAGCTTAATGTTGTAAAAACAAAGTGTGAAGAGCAGAAGGAACTGAAAAGGAAAGAGCGGAAAAGAGGTTACGGAAGTGTAGTATATGAGACACCAATGAATGGAAAGAACTGGTCATCCTCTCAAAATGCTGGTGATGAGGATGAAAAGCTAAAACAGAGCTCTTCTTCTGTTTCCAAGGCTCTCTTTCAGGATTGATGATGACAAGTTGCAGCAGTATTGTAGCTATGACTCTCATTAGAGGAATACTGTTGTAGCGAGTGAAGCATGTTGTTTCTAATTAGAGAGAAAAGCGAAGCATGTTATTTAACTTTGTTGAATAATTTTGTAGATATAGAAAACTTTCCTGCACTGACAGGAAAATGTTAATGACAACAACTGGTTTTCCTCAATTAATGTAGAAATTGAGCAGGGCTAGTTGTCATCACTGACAGCTAACTAAAATGCAACTGGTAGCAATATCACTGGTTTCCTTTCATACGGCGAGGATAGGGCACATAAACCATATGTACACAGCAAGATGTCGATAAGCATGTTTTCACTCAACATGTAATAATACTCTGATGTGGTAAACACACAAAAGAAGTGATAATTTTTCCTTGCTTTGTTTGGAAAGTAGAGAAGCTAAAGTGGAAATAAGAAAAACAAGGTAAAATGATTTTCTCTCTTATTTGTTGAAGTTACTAGAATAATAGGGGTTCTGGAAAACAAAAACATCGTTAGAGAGAGAAATCCCTTTTCCTATTTGGAAACAATTTACCTTTTTGCAATGATTTATAGCCACACAAAATATATGTGCCTTATTTTATACCACAAGTTCAAAAGTCTTCTTTCTTTTCTTATACTCCGTGCCCGGTCAAATAGGTTCACATAAATTGAAACGGAGGGAGGGAGTACTTTCCTTTGATTTTCCTTTTGCACGACCACTTAGTAAACACCTTATCTATCTTTTTCTGTAACTAATACCCCACTTCCTTTGATTTTCCTTTTGCACGACCACTTAGTAAACACCTTATCTATCTTTTTCTGTAACTAATACCCCACTATTTTGTCGAAGTGGCAAGCACTTATTTCGTAAAAGTCTTGCATCCTATTGTACTTTTATTTTATTTAGAGCTCGTTTGGACATAAGAGTTTTTTCACCTTTTTTTCTAAATCAGCGTTTGGTCATAAAATTTTCAATTTTTTTACTTGAAAATGAATTTTTAAATTTTTCTAAAATTTAAAAAATCCAAAAAAACTGTTTTTCAAAAATTAACTCATATCAGTCACAAAACTTCAAAAACAACTCAAAATTATACTCATGTCCAAACACAATTCTAATTTTCCAATACCATATTCACTTGATTTTTTCTTCATTTGAAAATTTACAATTCTTATGTCCAAACGCCCACTTAATCTTTTTAAACATTTTAAAATTAATTTTGGAAAAAGAATTTACATTTTTTTCTTCTAAATTCATTTCCAATTGCCTCTCTGCCCTTTTCGGGGTAGGGGTAAGGTCTGCGTACACTCTACTCTCTCCAGACCCCATTAATGGGATTTTACTGGGTATGTTGTTGTTAAATGGAATTTTTACTTCCTATAGAATAGGTTAACCCCCTATTTATTTAAAATAAATACCATTTCAATAAATTACATCCTATAGATATGTTATATGATTTATAGCAAAAATTCTAATTTTGGGTATCTCCTACACTTAAGCCATTATACACGCTATGTTTAATTTCCCTATCTCCATTCTCAGATTCTCTCTCTCATGGATACCTTTTTACATACAACTTCTCAATACAAGTTTTCCCCTTTCTCTCTAAATTGATACTTCCAAATCCCCTGTAATCGCGGTTAAAATTATATTGCTCTTATTCACAACGCAGCTTCCTCCTTCCCTAATCTCGGGTAAACCCTAAAGCTTCATCTACATTGTACTGGCTTGTTTCTATAAGTAGTGTGGTTAGCATATTTTTTTTTTGATTTTTCGCCATTTTTGCTTGTTCTCAACCTCTCGACCAACCAAATTGTATCTAATCAGCAGTACCCAAGTCGTATTGTTACAATGTCTGAGAATACACCCCACAAGTTGATTACTGGAGGTATACCCACTAAACTTCTGAACTTCTCAAAAACAACATTTGACTCCACTCTACTCCGTCAAAGATATGGTGCTCTCCTCTGGGACTATGCTATGCGCAAGATAGACGCTGATGCCATAAGCGAGAATGAAGCACCTTCAAAGATTGCTAGGCAAATCACTGAGTCGGAGGCAAAGTTGCAGATAGTTTTAGCATAGCTTTAGGTTATTTAAGTTTTGGAGTGTAGTTTCAAGAAGGATACTGTTTTGAGTAGTTTTGTGTGTAGATGCTATTTAGTTTTAAAAACTTATCACTTATACTTTTTTGTTCGTGTATGACAATTGCAACTTTTCAATGACAGTTTCACTGGTTTATTCATAAGTATTCCTACTTATCTTCAGTTGTATTCAATTGTATTCAGCTGCATCCATTCAGATATATCTTTCAAGTTCATATAATACATATTACAGAACACAACTTCAGATGTATTAAGCAGGTTGTACGTAGTCATATGTATTCAGGTGTACTCAATTGTATTTAAGTGTATTATTCAATATTAGCTAGTTGTATTTAAATGTATTATTTAAGTGTATTCAGTTATATTTTGGTGTATTAAATTTACTATATGCTTCATATATATTATTCAGGATAATGTTTTGAATAGTTTTGGGTGTAGATGCTATTTAGTTTTAAAAACTTATCACTTATACATTTTTGTTCGTGTATGACAATTGCAACTTTTCAATGACAGTTTCACTGGTTTATTCATAAGTATTCCTGCTTATCTTCAGTTGTATTCAATTGTATTCAGCTGCATCCATTCAGATATATCTTTCAAGTTCATATAATACATATTACAGAACACAACTTCAGACGTATACAACAGGTTGTACGTAGTCATATGTATTCAGATGTTCTCAATTGTATTTAAGTGTATTATTCAGTATTAGCTAGTTGTATTTAAATGTATTATTCAGATGTATTCAGTTGTATTTTGGTGTATTAAATTTACTATATACTTCATATATATTTATCTGTATACAAATTCTTCAACAAATTGTATTCCAGAAATATTAACGAAAGTCATTTCAATATATATTACTTGACAAAGAGAATTTATTATAGCTTCTAATGTCATCATATGTATTGACAAATCGTTAACCACCAATACATGTCAGAATACAACTATTTATTACGTGGAGCATTTCTACACGTTATGTCCTCCCTGCCCACATATGCTACATGAATGTTGGTTTTTCGGCTGCAGCAGTTCACTTAAAGTTTTATCGCGCTTCTTCTTTGGCCTTCCAGGAGGTCTTTTCCATTTGGGTGGTAGTACAACCTCCTCTGCTACATGTTCTGGCATATTCCAGTCATTTTTGTCCGGTAGCGGGTACACTGGCACATCGTATGTCATTACAATTGTACTTGATTTGTAATAGTTAGAGCAATATTCTTCTGGCATTAGAAACTTGCTCTTCAATACAGCCCAAGCATGTGGGCATGGCAATTCATCAATTTGGAACCTCCCACAAACACATTTTCTCTCTAATAGGCAGACTGTCTAATTCCTCCCACCATCGTTAACCGTATGTAAGTATTCATTTGATGGTACCACCTACATTTAAAAATAGAAATATAAGTTTTGAACACATTTACCTGAATTACCAAATGTATAATGTTGAATTAATAAGTTACATATAATAGAACATTTGCATATATATGAATACATCATATATTTAGACTAGCAAAATGTCATCTGCGAGAAGTGCAGAACTTATCAAAAGTCTCCTGTAGTTTAGGCAACAGTATGCTAACAAAAGCATTATAATCATACGTATTCACAATACATATAAAAATTAATATCATATAGCTAGTTGCATTCTGATGTATTCCAATTGTTTTTTCAGCATGTAACTTAGTTATATTCAGTTGTATTCATATCAGATCTATGGAAAAATATGCATGTTATGTGCTTGAATGTAGTTGCATTCATATATATTAATGGTAGTTCTACTTAAAAATGATTGTATTCAGTTGTATTCATGCCAGTAATTCAGAAATTAACTAAAAATATATACAGTAATGACAGTAAAATTTAACTTACAGTCATACGTGTACACATTCTCTCATTCAACTCCAGCATCTCCTGGTATTTTTTCCCAAGCGTCTTGTATGTCTGTGTAGCTTCTTTGCAGTTACTACAATTCCAACGTCCAAACATCTTCCTAACTTCTTCGAGGAAGTCGTATATTGGCAATTCTCTTGCTAAAACTAGTGCGACATTAATTGACTCAGCAATATTTGACGTCATTGTCCATCCCCTGTTAACATGTGCATACAACCTAGCCCACTTTTCGTAACCATCTAACTCTAAGTATTCTTTCACCCTAATATCTACCTTCTCCACCTTCTCCATTAGACTGTCAAATTCAGCTTCTGTGTATGCTTTTGCCATCGAGAAGTATATCTCGCTCAACTTGGCATGGCTCTTTTTGAATTTCTTATATACGTTATTCCATAGATGCCATATACAAGCAAAATGCGGTACATCCGGATTCACTCTCGATACAGATTTAATGATACTCTCATTTCTATCTGAAACTATGCACATGTTTTCCCTTACACCGTATGCTATCTTGAATTGCTCAAAGAACCATGTCCAAGCAGCATCGTTCTCTGAATCAATAACACCATATGCTAGTGGAAACATATGACCTGTAAATACAATTGAATATAATTATTTCTTAACACATGTATTTCAATATTTAAAATATTAACAGATTGTATTATTATTCAGATACTCACCTGCACCATCCAACGTGCTTGCCGAAACGAATGTCCCGGTGTAGTAAGATTTTAGGTGACTTCCATCCACAACAACAATTGGTCTACAATAATCAAACCCCCTTATAAAGGCATACAATGATATATACACGTACATGAATTCATTCTTTGGCGACTTTACCATTCTGATGTGGGAACCTGGATATGTCATATCCATTGTATATAAGTATCCTGGTAATTTTTTGTATGAATCAGCCGGTTCACCTCTAAGAAAATTTATTGCCTTTTCTTTATCCCTCCACGCCAACATATAGCTAACATCTACACCTAAATCTGATTTCACATCATCAATAATGTCCCTCGGAGTGTATTTCCTCTTATGGTTTGTAAGTTTTGGCCTTATAATACCACCTATAAGGCTGCTACTAGCCTGCCGCTGCTCGTACACCTTATCCTTCAGCGGACATGTATGGTTATCATTGAATTCTCTCACCTTGAATAGTTCTGATTTGTTAATGCTTGAAGCCTTAAACCTCCATTCACAATCTTCTGAAATACATAATAATGCATAGCTGCAAAGCATTAATCATTTAACATTTGATTAGCATACTTGTTTACAACAAATACAGCTCATACATCAGACAAATAGAATCTGACATATATACATCCTGAATACATGTTAACAAATTCACAAGTGTATATATAATTTTGTATACTACTGAATTCCAATATAGTTACATGCGTTCAAACACAATGAATACAACTGAATACACTTGTATGAATATGCAAACACTTAATACCAGAGTAGATAAAATAAGAAAATAATTAGAGCCGCTGTTGTGTTTGTACACCATTAAAATACATTTGAATACTTGTATTTAAGCACCCTAAACAAATATATGTTTTCATATGTGTTCATCAGGAGGAAACACACAAATACACATAAATACAACAAATTTAAACAAAAAGCAAACCTGACAGCATTAGACCGATCAACCCAGAATTGAAACCTTTGAGCTATAGCATAATTCTCCATCACCTCTTTCAATGTAGCCTTATCCTTATAAACTTGTCCAGCCATAACCTCCTTTTGATTGGTTTTTGAAATTATCAAATCCTTGTGGAGTTCGAACACTCCAATCGCTTCTCCTGAATTGACAAATTCTATAGCCAGTGTATTATCAGTATCGGAATCGTACCTTTGAACTTCTCCATCTATAAGCTCTTTTTCGACAGTAGTTACGCACAAAGGATACATCCCAAATTCTCTGTTCTCTTTTTTCAATTCTACATACACTCTGTAACCCATATCATTGTGTATTTCCATTGGCGTGCAATTTCCTTCTACTTTGTATTGTATTTTAATGGTCTTTGAGCTCAAATCTATACCCAGTTGATTAGAAATTGAAGCAACTAGATCATTAAAGGAGGCATACTCCTTAATCAGTATTCCCTCAATTGCAAAATCGATATAATTGCCCTCATCGTTCCACTTGCCAGAATGACGCAACAAAACTGTTAAACTTGCCATATGTATAAAGCAACTATAACTTATTTTGTATATAATTTGTATCAATCGAAAAAAGGAGAAGAGAATTGAAGAATTTGGATGCTCTGTTTTTTTGCTTCTTTTCACGAAAAAAGGGAGAAGATTATTCTGCATTCTTTGAGCAGATTATTGTGTACTCGTATTATTTCTTTGAGTTAAATTAGGAGACTATCATGTGAATTTATTTCCTTCCGTTTTTAACAAGTTTAACTTCCCAGAATTTGCGCAAAAACGTTACTGAATTTTATCTGTATTCAGCTTGAATACAGATAAATACAGATACCCTTAGCTGGAGTTCCCGTTTTTACGCCTATTTTTTTGGTTGTATTAATGAATACAACTGTTTAAATACATGAAATACATTGTATAAAAACATAAAAGGTATCTATAACAAGTAATATAGCAAAGGGTATCTATAAATGACTAATTAGGGCTAAAAGATGGTGCTTTATGAAAAATTCTCTTTACTTTTCCATGTATACATTAGACGGGGCATTGTCACTTTTGGGGCCGCCGTTAAAGTTTTACCTGCATTACATATAAATTTGCAAAATTTAGCCATCGGAGTCTGAAATTCTTCTATCTCTTTAATGTAATTGCAAAATTTTTCTCATATTCACCTTTTTCTTTTCGTATGATTTTGCTTACTATACCTGCTGTTGTAGCATTATAAACAGTATTGTTACTCTTGTTGCCGTTGGGATAAGTTTGACCCCTTCCCCTGTTACCGCCTACATATATAAGATATTTTAAGAAGTGAACATCCTTCTTAGTAGCAGGGCCCGGGGAAAGAATATGGAAGGTTATTTCACTATTTTTTTTTTGACCAGGGTTATTTCCAGTCCAAAAGAGGTAGTGCCTAATGTCACCGGGAGCGAGTTGGTAGGGGGCCCTAAGATCTTGAGAATGGATCAAGGAAATCCTGATGCTCCGCCAGCCATTCCTCAATGCATTTAAATCTTAAGTTCTTCTATCTTTCAAATGCAACTTTAGAAAATTCGAATCTTAAGTAGTTCTAACTCTTCTATACAACTTCAGAAATCGAATTTTAAGTTCTGAAACACAAACTTGTTTTTCGAATTTCAACAATCCAACACCCGATTTTAACACCCAAATCTACTCCAAATGAGCTCAAATTTGAAACATAGCTTTCAAATATCATAAAGAACAAACCTTAATCATCAAATTATCAAAACAACAAAAAATCTGATAAACTCTTTTTGCAACTACTAAGAAGAAGAAGAAGAAACCCTAAGCACAACCTACAATGATATTTTACTTCTAAGAATTAAGAAAAAGAGAAATTGTAAGCACAACCTACAATGATGTTTTACAACTAAGAAGAAAAAGAACCGAACGACTCCTGGATACATGGGACATAAATACCAAAAAGAATAAAACAACATCGAAGCTCCTAAATACGTGTGACTTGAATACAGAGAAAATAAGAAATAACGAAGAAGAAGGGAAATACGTGGTTATCTGAAGTTACTCAAAAATGGGTAAAGGTAGGCATCCCATAAATTTTTTACACATATACTACACAACAAAAAAACAAATAAAAACCCCAAATAAAAGAAAACATTAGACTACACTATTTTATCATGCATAAGTTATAATTAAATTTTGTGGAAACACAAATTAGCTAAATGACAAAAGTGTATATAAACAACACACGTATGTCATATATTTATTGATTTGATATAAATATATACTCCCTTCGTTTATTTTTAGTTGTCCACTTTTGACTTTGCACTTTCTTTAAGAAAAAATAAATGAAGTATGTATTTTACAATTTTTCCATAATAATGATAGCATTTCCAAAAGACTTGGAAAATGATTTGGGGAATGAGTTGTTAATGATGATAAGGGTAAAATAGAAAGAAAAAAAAAAGATTGTCTTTCTCTTATTTACTATAATGAATAAGTAAAAGTGAAAATATATTTTTAGTATAGTGAATAAGTAAAAGTGAACGAACGAAGTATTAGATATGAATAAATTTCTTATGCTTGGGGTAGCGATACATTTTTGATGGCAACGACCGATTTCTTGAGGAATATATGCTTTTTTCCCGTCTTTGAAAAAGGGATTTAAATTTCTATTTGGTATAAAAGTTAAGAAGATAAAAGTGGCATCATGCATTAAAGAAGGAATTGTTTGACCATTTAAATAGATATTAAAAATTCATAATTCTCTCATTTTTACCTATTCAATATTCTTATTGCTAATAAAATAATATTCGAGGTTTGTTGTCACACGTCAAGAAAATCTCATTCACCATTACTTATGAGCTTTACATCCCATTATTTCTTGTCTCCACCACCCCTCCCCTCTAACTAAAGAGAAAATTAATGAATGTCGTTGAGGAATATGCATATTTCCTATAGACATGAAAATAATAATAAAAAAATACCAAATTTTTTTTAGTCAACTAGCAAGGTAGATACTGTTATTAGACTGTATTTATAAAATAATTCTGGAAATATAAATGAATATAAACAGAAATGAACATAAACAGAAATGACATAAAACCAATTCGAGCCCACTGAATTCACAGTGTTTCCTTAAGGAATTTAATCCCCTCCTAGTACCCAAGGTTATGGAATATTTCCTCCCAGGATAAAATGAAATTATACACTGGTGTAGTGGTACTTCAAACTCCAGTGTTTCAGCGAACACAAAGTTCGGTAGCAAATCACACTTACTTTTTACTTTGTTTGATGCTAAAAGTATGCAGAAGAAGGAGAGAAAACTCAGAAAATCGTAGTGAAATGCTGAGCAGAATAATGTTGTATTTATAGCCAAAGTTGGGCTGAAATCTGAAGAGGTGCAATTCTTCAGAATGGCTGTTTATGCAAAACGCCCACAGCATAAATGCCATTACATAGATGGCCATTTACTCAATAATAAAGAGGGACAATAAAGAGGGAAAATTGAAGAGGGTAGTTACTTTTCTGTTACCAAAACAGAAAAATGGATTGGATTTAATATTAATATTTAATATTAATATTCTGTTATTAAAACAAATATTTAATAACATTTCTGTTAATATTTTACTATTAACAAATAAATTTGGTCCAAAAAGTTAATCAATCAATCGTTTGACCAAATCCAAATCCAAATCCGCGAAGCCGAAGCCGAAGCCGAGCCGAGCGAGCGACGACGACGACGGCGCGAAGCTTGCCTTCTTCTCAACTCTTTAAGAGCTAGAAGAAGAGCAATTGCTTATATACCCATAAAAAACCCTCTTCCTCTTCCAATATGGGACAATGCCCATTTGCCGGGGGGGGGGGGGGTAGACTTAAATTCACTCAAAATTTATTCCCTCCATTTCCCATTCACCCTCTTTTAAGTATTTAATATATATTAATTAAATAT